GAGGTGTTCCAAATGATTAGCATTTTTTTTTAAGAATTTTTTTTTTATTATTTGTGTGTGTGTGTGTGTGTGTGTGTGTGTGTGTGTGGCCAGCTCAGCCCACCAGGGGCGGGGCTGGCTGGCATGTGGTGCTGGGGGATTGAACCATGGTCCCTGTGCTTTGCTAAGCTTGTTCTAAGTAGGTGCTTTAGATCACTGAGCCATCTCACCAGCCCAATTAGCTTATACTTAAGTGTGCATAAAACGTCTTACGCTCTTACGCTTTTTTTTGCTATCATATGTATTTAAAATTGATGTCAAGTCAATATTTCTAAAATGAAAACATTGGCATTTGAAAGGGTCAAATTCTGTCACCTGAGAATCACTTTTGTTTGGTGCACTGAAGGCTGAGGAAGCTAAGTTAGGACAGACAGGCAGGGCTGTTGCTTGGTTAGGAGCCTCTCTTGGTGTCTTTGCTCAGAGGACAGGCAAGAAGGGAGCGGTGGCATTTCTGGAGCCTCTTCCTGTTCCTCCTCTGCACGACAATAGCTTTCAGAAAAGACAAGTCCAGACAAGCAGCTCAGTAAAACTACTGATTTTCTAAGAGATTCTCTTGATGGCTTTTGAGAAAGCCAAGTTTGTCATTGGTGAATGTTGTATTTATTGGGGTGTAGCTCTACCTTCTTTATAATTACTATGGAGCCTTTGGGAAAAGGTTCATTCAGCCCAGTGCCCTGGGCCCTGGAATCCAAGAAATCTGTCCCATTATCCTGCCAAACCACACTGCTTGGTGTCTTCTCTAGCGCCGGCCCTCTGGGTGACTGTTGATTGCTTTATGTTGGAGCAATCTTAGATTTCCCAGTGTCCCAGGCAAGCTGTGCTGCCTCTGGTGGCACCTTGGATGAGCTCCACAGCTCTTTAAGGCAGCCCAGGTCACACAGGGATGGGCCATGGCACAGTCTCATTGTATCCCGCTGCTCTGTTACATGTTTTGTTGGCTGTCTCTGTACTTGGAGGAGAAGATGAGCTTTCTAGGTTATTGTGTGTTGGTCCCTGGTTTGAGGTCCTGGTGTGGCTCAGGCTCTGAAAGGGACACTGTGGGACTTGAGGATTGAATTAAGTCATGCCTCAGCGCCCGGAAGAGGCTAACAAGGGCCTGGGCCCAGACGTCCTTCTGGTACCCTTGGGACAGTGCAGTGCGGTAGGCCGTGTAGGCTAGGGTCAGCACTGTCCGCTCGAAATCTTCTTTCCTGAGGATGCCAGGGCGGCTGGCCAGACTGGCGCTGAGCCGGCGTATGTCGGGGATGCGCTTGGGGATCACGTCGTTGCAGATGGCTCGGAAGCTTGAGGCCTTCCGCAGGGAGGCCAGCTCCTCATCCTTGACAGAAATCTTCAAGTCTGGGCTGATCTCAAGCTCTGCCAGCAGGAGCTATAGGGAGACATGGGACATAGAAAGATGTGAGCACGGGCATCGTCCAATGCACAATGATAGTCATTGTCACACGTGTTCACTTCTGGAGGGGGCTGGGCCTCGGTATCTAAGAGATCCGGCTACCAATTCTTTTCTTTTCTTTCTTTTTTTTTTTTTTTCTTTGTTTTTTTGTACTGGGTCTCACTAGGCAGCTCAGACTCATAGTGATCCTCCTGTTTTCAGCCTCCTCAGCACTGGGATTATAGATATGCGCCAGCACGCCTGGACTCTGTGGCCAGCTTGGCCTGTCCTGGGGGTGGAGCTTATGCGGCATGTGGTGAGAGGGATTGAACCCCGGTCCTATAGCTTGCCTAAGCAGGTGCTTAGTCTGCTGAGCTATCTCACTGGCCAAAGAGACCTGGCTATCAGTTCTGATCGTCCTACTTCCTGTGTCACCGTGGACAACTTACCTAACTTCACTGGGCCTTGTTTCCTTTCTCTGTAAAATGATTAATAATGACATCAAGTCCATGAGGGTGTTAGGAGCATTCCATGAGACAACTATGAAGAAATCTAACACAGCACAAAGCCAGTATTTAAGTGACCAGTGATTGTTTCCAGTGAATCAAACCAATCCTTTCCCTTTCTCTCTCTCACCCCCCAAAAGATCTTTTGAAGCATAAAATGATAAGTGGATTTTTTTTTTCAGTGCTAGAGGTTGAACCCAGGGCTTTCATACTGAGTCATATCCTTTTGTTATTTTTTATCTTGCAAGAGGGTCTTGCTAAGTCACTAAGTTACTCAGGTCAGGCTCAAACTTGGAATCCTCCTGCCTCAGCCTCTCAGAGTTTGGGACTTCAGATGTGTACCATACGCCTGGCTATTTCAAATTATTTTTACAGCAGAAAGTGGGACCTCAAGGAATGAAGCGCCTTGTATTAGGGACTTGGTGGTAGTCAGAGTTGTCTTCCTTTTGCTCTCTGGCTTGTAGTGAAAGGGCCAGTTCTGTCATCTGCCTCCCTGGCACAGCCAGGCTCACAGGAGGAGACACAGACAGATAAGGACGGAATGATCCCAGGTCCCAAGTGTTCTCAGACTCTACTTTCTTTGTGACTCACTGTTCAACACTGTCTTTCTGATGTCTTTCTAGACTGTTTCATGACTTCCAGGCTGAAGGTGGGGCTAATGTATGCATTTGCCTATCTCCTCCCCAGGGCAGGGCTTGGGGTCTTTGACCCAGGCGCATGGTGTAGCCATATGAGCTGTGTCTTTCTTAACCAGGTGGTTCTAGTGTGTGGAGCAGGAGGATGTCAAAGTTGGAGGGCAGGTTGGGGAATCAGAGCTGAACGCCTCTCAGGTTAATAGTCGAGGAGGGTCAGGCCCAGAGAGAAATGGCAGTGCGTGTGAGGTCGCAGGGATGGTGGAGTACAGCTCAGATCTTGATCCTGGGGCTGTCTTGTGGTCCCGAACCAGGCAGTCTTGGGGAACTGGCCTGTGCTTTGGAGGAGGGGTGAGTGGTAGCGCAGAATCTAGAGGGCAGCTGCTGTGTTCAGACCTTATATGGGCTAGTGGGTCAGGAGGCAGCCTTGTTGGCATGGCAGCAGGGCCTTAGATGTGCCACATGCAGGCCCTACTGAGGCCCTACTGATGCCCAAGGCCTTGAGGCCTTCTCTTGGGTAGTGGCCACTCCTGGGTGCCTGGATGTGGGTAGTGGAACCCCTGGGACCAACCTGTCTCTCATTTACCTGAACTGGATAGCCTGTCATTCCCACTGTGCCCCAGGAGAGGAGGGGAGGCACCAGGAATGCTGGACTTGGGATGGATCAGGGTCCAAGCCCTCCATGGTTTAGCAAGGCCATTTCTTTTCTTTTCTTTTTTTTTTTTTTTTTTTGCGGAACCGGGGATTGAACTCAGATCCTTGCATTTGCCAGTCAAGCGCTTATCCTACTGAGCCATCTCCCCGGCCCAGCAGGGCCATTTCTTGCTGTAGTCCAGGCTGTTCATCTCTGGGGGCTCAGACAGACTCCTTCCCTTCCTCCAAACTGGAGAGAAGGGTAGCTTCTCTGGATGAGCTGGCTGGACCATTTGCCCTTCCCTACCTCGTAAAGCAGCTCCACTTCCTCCAAGGAGGTCTGCAGGATGGGGTTCAGCGGCACGGAGGAGGACCTCTTTGGCCGGTGGGCAGCAGGGAAGAGTACCGCTGGAAGAAACGAGAGTGAGCTGGGCTGCTGTGTGCATGCTTGGTGGCCTTGCTGATCTTAGCCTTGAGCAAAGCTGTGCTCTTCAGTGAGCCAACAGATCACAGGTACAGGGCGCAGACTGCGCTGGCTGGTCCTAGTACATTCCCGGACTGTGTCAGACAGGTAGGTTCAAACCCTGTTGCTTGTTAGAATCATTGGCAAAAGTTTTGAAAAATTGATATGCCTGGGGACATGTCTGTGCCACAGAACTAATATTAAAACAAAGTAAGAGAAAGCAAAACAGAAATGAGCAAGCAAACAAAAATCTCCCAATTCAACAAGCGATTTCCTAAAAATCCTGTTCCTTAATAGTGCCACAAAACTGAATTATTTGTTTCATCACTATGCGGTGCTGGTTTATAATTTAATCAGAGAATCAGACTTCTGACTACTCTATCAATTGGAAACAGAGCTCCCAAGGGTCTGAACACAGGGACAGAATAAGCAGAAAGCTGTCCCGAGATTGCCACTTGGCTATAGGGAACCTGTGGCTGCCTCAGAGCTGCCCCTAGGGAGGGCTGATGCGGACTTGTGCTGGCTGGCAGCCAGTGGCCGCGTAGACCGTGCTGCTCCATAGTGGCTGCTGCTTTGAGCATCCGCAAGGACTTACAGAGGAATACAGCAGACCAAGAGCAAGAGCGAGCGGACAGGCCCTGCCAGAGTGCAGGGGTGATCGCTGTAACCCTCGGTTCTTCAGGGTCACACTGGGCTAGGGGAGAAGAGACCCTTCCACCCGCACAGACCCTCTGCAAAGCAGGCCCTGGGCAGAGGTGATGGGCTAGTGGGCTGCCAACTGATAGCACAAGAGCAGCTTCTTCATAACTTTTGTAATTTTTTTAAAAATTGATATAGGGTCTCACTACGCAGTTTGAATTCATAGTGATCCTCCTGTCTCAGCCTCCTCAGCACTGGGATTATAGGTATGAGTCACTATGTCTGGGGTTGTGGGGTCGGCACAGTATGTGGTACTGGGGATTGAACTTGGGACCTTGCTGTTGCATGGTTCTTAGACTGCTGAGCTATCTCCCCAGCCCCACAACTCTTGATTATGAGCTGGGTGTGGTAGCACACACCTATAATCACTCAGAAGGCTGAGGCAGGAGGATCACTGCAAATTCAAGGCCAGTCTGGACTATATAATGAGGCTTTGTATCAAAAAAACCAAAACCAAAACAAAACGAAGAACAACAAAAAGACTTTTTTATGTATCTGGCATAGGGTCTCACTACACAGCTGGGACTCTTACTGATCCTCCTGTTTTCAGCCCCCCCAACACTGGGGTTACAGGCATGTGCCATCATGCCTGGCCTTGGTGGCTAGCTCAGCTTGCCCGGGGGTGGGGGTGATGTGGCATGTAGTGCCTTGGATCGAACCCTGCTCCCCGAGCTAGCCTAAGCAGGCACTTAATCCAAACAAAAAGACTCTTGATTATGATTTTCCAGCAAACTAGAGGAGGAACTGTAAAATTCAGCCCGTGACAGGAGTCTGAGGCCCTCGTGTTGGGCAAGGGTTCCGTCTCCACGGCCATAGTGATGCCCTGCTGGAGGAAGGCCCTTGAGCCACAGAGAAAAGATCAGATTGTGTTCAATGTGTTACACCGAAGAGGGCAGGGAATATATGGGACATTTTAGAAAGATTTCCATCAGAAGAGATAAAAAATGATGCATCTTCAACTTAGAAGGCGCTTTCCAGAAAGGTTCCCTGCAGGAATCTCCCCTTTAAGCCAACATTTTGGCCCTAGACTTCCAAGGTCAATGAAGACTCAGGACGTATGAGATCTTGTACTGTAATGTCATGTAACTCAGTAGTGTCCCAAATTTTCTGATCAAGGAGATTATGGGGCCAAAGAGGAAAGTGATCAATGATGTAGAGTGTGTCTAAGGAGAGTCACATGGAGAGAAAACATTCTCTCAGGCTTTCACAGGGAGCACATTGGCCAAGCAATGGCTGTGACTCATCCACATGACTGGCACTGACAAAGAATCTACAATCTGAGGTACAGGATCTCAGGATGAATCCTGAGGGGATTTCACTGACCTTATCAGACCCAAAAGCTGCAACTCTTGTTGCATAGGTCCTGCTTTACCTTGGTCTTAACCACCCAGCAGAAAAGTATAAAAACGAATTATAAGAAGTAAAGTCATGGTTTATGTTGAGCTGTAGGGGACTCAGGTCAACAATTCTGACATTGCCAGTGAAGCGGAAGACGCAATACTATTATGGACTACTGGACTCTTTTAGAATATTTTGCTGAGTTAACACACCTATAATATTCAAATGACAGAACTAAACAAAAAAGAGGATATATAAATGAATGTCCATCTTGTATCTGTGTATTCAAAATGGTTGGGATAGATATATAGTTACATTCTCTTAATGAATAGAGGGATTTGTTCTAATAGTGTTTGTAAATAGGATATCATGTCTGCATCTTGTACAGCAATTAACCACCAGGAAGACAGTAATGTGTTAATTATTGAAACTGTCATACCAATTTGATTTGAAACTGTCTCATTGCTATTTGTCTCTCAATAAAATTATAGAAAAAAAAATAAAAAGGAATCTCCCCCTTCCAGGAGAAGCTGGCTGCTGCTGTGTGGCTGAAACTTGGCTGGCACAGGAACCTGCGTGCGCTCTGACTGGGCTCCTCAGGGCCCCGGATGGCTGATGTTTCTGCAGGTATGCGCAGAGAGCGCGTTGCCCCTGCCTTCTCCCTGGTAGGACAGCAAACCAGGACGGTTGGTCTTTTGTCAAGGTGTGAGCTGTTTTTTCTGTCTTTCTTTTTCCACCACGAAAGGGCTGAGACACCTTCTCAGGACAGGGTTGGAACATGACCTTACCTCCTTCTCCATCTCTTCCTCTTCCTCCCTCCCTCTAGTTCTCCAAGAGTAGAGCAGGGAAGCACTTCCTGGTTCAAAGCTCAGTGCTGGAGGTGTTCCTGGTGTTTCTCAGTTGTTCTCTGATCCACTAACAGAGCCTGGACCAGGGGAATGGCGAGGGCTGTAGGGAGTGTGTGAGGCACTCAGGATTCTTAGTACTGGGGCCAGCCTCCTGTTTCCCAGTCCCAGCATGGGTGTTCTGCAGCCACATTAACTTTAAGCATTGGGCTTAAAGGCAGGCAGGATCATCGCCATTTGTGTCACCTCTGGCTGCTGGCAGACAGGAAGGTGGTCAGCTCTCAGTGAATTGCCAAGGTGAATGCATGTCCCTTCACCGGTGATGCTGGGAGGTGAATGTCACTCCCAGATGTTCCCATCCACAGTGACAAAGGCTGGCTTCTGCCAGAAATGCCAGTAGCCAAAGCAAGGATTGCCTCACTCTGAACTTAGACAAGCAAAGCTTGAAACTAGATTTGTTCCTCCCTTGCTTGAAAACCGGCCCTGTTCTCCCTGGAGCCTCTTCCCATTCCCTGTCATCTCATTCCTAAATTTATGGAGGTCCTCACAAGATCAGCTCCTGCTCTCTGCTCCGGGCAGCTCAGGCTTCTAGAGGAGGGACACTTGAGAGGGGTACCTCCTTGAGACTGTAGGGCTCGGAAAGCGGGCAGACCCCAGCAGGAGGGCACAGCTGCCCTCCAGGGGCCTTGGAGCCTCAGCCAAGAAGGCTGCTGGGAGATTTGTGCAGAGTCATTGGCTCTGGGTATCTTTCTCTTGGTTCTGCAGCACGTCACACCCTGCCCACACCCAGGCATTTCTTCAGCCTGTGGCTGCCTCTGTGAGGGCCTTGCAGTGTGCCTGTCCCGGGGACTCCTGGGGATCACTTGTCTTCCTTCATTATTGATCACCTGCTGCACAGGCCAGGCTTGGGGAGGCAAACTGAGACTCCTTCCTTCCTGAGGCCCCAGGCAGACTGCACCTGTGACACGGTGGGCTGATCAGTGCAGAAGCAGAGGTTCATTTGCTGAAGGTCATGCATATGGATGGACCCGGAGGTGCGGGGTTCACAGTTTCCTCATTTCCTGGGGCCCAGGCCTTCTGTGGGGAGACACTGTCAGACCTCAGACCAACCAGTCCCAGGGTGGGGCTCAGATACAATGAGAACTGGGGGGCACTTAATGTGCACTGTCCAGGTGTACCTTGAAAGGTAAGTATTAACCTCCCATTGTACAGCTAAAGAAAATTGGAGTTTCTAGAACTTGCCACTGCTTATCACACCCCCCCTGGCCACCCAGTTGTTTGAGATAGGACTGGGATTAAGATGCAGGTGGCTCAGACTCCAAGGCCCCATTTCACTGATAGGCCAAGCCATGCTATCTTCTCCTAGGGATGGATGTCTGTCCATCAGTGGGGCGATCTACAGCTCTGGGTAACTAGAGAACCATCAATATAGTTCGTGAATAAACAGATGCTTTGGTATAGAACATGCTTTAAATCTCTACTTTTGAGCCAGGGAGATGGCTCCGTGGAATAAGTGCTTCCCTGGCAAGTGCAAGGGCCTGAGTTCAATGCCTGGTTCCACCAAAAAAAAAAAAAAAGAAGAAAGCTCCACTTTTGATTTATGATTATGTGATATACATAGTCAAACTACAATGACCCTTAGGTCTTGTGAAGATCCCAACTGCTTTGCCCCTTTCTTACTCCTTTGGATTTACTTGGCAAGGGCGCACCTGGTCCTACCTGTGCACACCTGGCCCTACCTGTGCACACCTGGCCCTACCTGTGTACACCTGGCCCTACCTGTAGCACACCTGGCCCTACACACCTGTTGCATACCTGCGCCACATGTGGCAGGAGAAGAGCACCACAACATGGTCACCTGATGGGGCTCTTTTGGTGGAGGTGGTGCCGGGGGTTGCACTTAGGACCCTACAAATTCTAGAGCAAGTTCTCTACCACTGAGCTAGATCACCATACCTTTTTTTTTTTTAGTTTGAGGCAGAATCTAAAATGCCCATGATGGGCTTTAATTTTCCATCTTCCTGTCTCAGCCTCCCAAGTAGGGGAGATTACAGCCTGTCTCA